CCGGGGCATGAACCCGTGTCCCGTGCATCGGCAGGCGGACTCTCAACCACTGCGCCACCAGGGAAGCCCTCCTCTGCCCATTTTTTAATCGGATTGGGTTTTATTTTTTTCTTTGCTATATATTAACCCCTTAGCAGATACATGATTTGCAGATATTTTGTCCCATTTGGTAGGTTTTGCCTTTTCATTGTGTTGATTGTTTCCTTTGCTGTGCAAAATCTTTTTAGTTTGATGTAGTCTCACTTGTTTGTTTTTGCTTTTCTACCCTTTTTATGGCTTGGATATGGTAGAGAGATCTTTATTTATGCCTGATATTTTATCTTATAACTGGAATTTCATCTTCTGCCTTTAAATATTCAAAGCTTTAATTAACTCTTTAATATTGTCTAGTTTGAGACCACAAAAATAATACCTATATGAGCATGATCACTAACTGGTAACATTAAATACTGCGTAATAATGTTTATGTAACTGTCTTCATATGTACATCTTCAGAGGAGAAACAGTGTTGTAGTAATCTTAAATACCTGCTTAATATGACAGCACCAGAGATATAGGGGAATCTGAATAAATGCTTTAACTATAAAAATATTTTTTGGAGACATGACAAAACAGTTGGTATCACATGTAAGTTTTTTTAAATGAATGATTCTTTTACAACATGGTAAGAGTAAGTTTTCATATGTCCTTCCTGCATCACCAAATGCTGATCATTTCAGAATGAATAGCAATATGCCATTTCAGGGATCAGTGTCATTTACGGATGTGACTGTGGACTTCACCCAGGAGGAATGGGAGCAACTGGACCCCTCCCAGAGGATCCTCTACATGGACGTGATGCTGGAGAATTACAGCAACTTACTATCAGTGGGTAAGGACAGCTTTCAGGTGTAGTTCGTAGTTCAATGTTGCCTAGTAGTGTTTAGGTCCTTTCTCAGTTACCAAAAATTATAAGCTTCTGAATTGCTAAATGGTTTTGGTGTCAAGCTTCATGTATTAAAGCTGAGAGAGTGCAGACTCTGAAGTTCTACCTTCTTTATTTTCAGGCTTTCTGAAGTCCAAGCAGTTAGGAGCTGTGTTCCATTATCAAGTTCTCTGATATTATCAAACCAGATTTTCATGTTGGATCAGTGAGAAGAGTTATGGATACCAAAGTTAGAATTTCCAGTTCACAACTTTCTAGGGAAGATGTGGAAGGTCGGAAGGAGAATCAGATAGAAGCCAGTGGAAGTAATATCCTAGAGATTATGAATGGGTTGGTATCTTTGAAATATTTTTTAGGAATCTATTTTTCAAATCCCTAAACCTTTAGAGGTAGCTGAGAACAGATGACTTGTGCACCTCATATCCTGAGTCATACCTCCAAATATCAGTCTCTTGCTGCTTAACATTTTTCCTGTTTTTAATTTCTATAGCTATTCACCTCTCACACTCAAGCCTTGATTCTTGCCTAACATGTTTTAAACCTTTGTTCTGTGATTAGTTCCTCTTTCATTAGTATTCTCACTTAGCCAGAATGGTGACTTCTATATTTTAGGTCATGGGAATTGGTTTAGCAGCTTCAAGGAAAATACAAACTTTTCAATACAAGAGTGACACAAATGGCAGCAGGATCACAAGAGTCAGGAATAACCAGTAATACAGAGATCAGAGTAAAGGTTCTTAAAGCATAGCTTGAGGCCGGGTAAATTTGATCCTTAAGAGTCCTTCAAATAAAAGCAGGGACGAGATTGGTTTGAGGAAGAAATTAAACACATGAAAAGGAGAAATACGGGATACAGTGATGGAAACACTTTCTCTCTCCAACAACTTTGATAGAAAAAGTAGTGCAACCCGCAGTAGCAGTGAGCAATTCTGTCAAAAATATCTTAGATCCATTTTATATTTCCTACAGAATCTATGAATTTCTGGATTTTGCCTTGCACTTGGAAAAGTCCTACTTGGGAGATTTGGAGCTCTGCATAGGGTTCTCTCTGCAAACCTGTGAGAAAGTTTGCCTTTAGGACGTTATTGGTGCAGATGAAAGAAGGAGAGAAAAGGGGAAGGAGCCTCGAGCATGTAGGTGAGGTGGCCATCCGACCACAGTAATTCAGAGTCTCAGTGTTGGCTGCTCAACTGAGATCTGCCTGGGTTCTTTCCCTTAACATCTCCTTATTTTCTTGGTCTGTACCAACTGGTGTCCTTGAGGACACCAAATAGCCTTTGTCTCTGGAATTGCCAGCCTTCTTACATCATTTGTTTTTATTTATTTCCCTTCACCCACTTTTAAGGCCGTTTTGTAATCTGGCAGTGCTATTTGTGTCCATTTTGCCACAGGCTTTGTCTTTTTCTTTCAGAGTTTAAGAGCTAGGAGCACTTGGAACTGGGGACTTTTTTATACTGGAAGACTGGGTCCCAAACTAAAGAGGTAGCCCTACAATGGAACCTTTGTGGAGTCTTCACATTCTGTAACATTGTGGTGAAAGGGTTGACAGAGTATTTCATGTGCTCTTTCCTAGAGGTATGGAAGGCTGATGACCAGATGGAGAGGGACCACAGGAACCCAGATGAGCAGGCAAGGCCATTTATAATCTTTAAGAACCAAACCTCAATTGAAGAAAGAGATAATCTCTTTGGAAAAACATTTAATCTTAGCACAGACTTTGTTTCTTTAAGACAAGTACCCTATAAATATGACTTATATGAAAAAACTTTGAGATATAATTCAGACTTACTTACTAGCGATAGAAGCTATATAAGAAAGAAAGATGAAGACTGTAATGGATTTGGAAAAGCACTCCTCTATCTGAAGCAAGAGAAAACCCATACTGGAGTGGAATACTCTGAATATAATAGAAGTGGAAAAGCCTTCAGCCATAAAGAAGGCATTTTTAAACACCAGAAAATCAGAAATTTGGTGCAACCTTTTATCTGTAATTATTGTGACAAGGCGTTCTCATTTAAATCACTCCTGATTAGTCATAAGAGAATACATACTGGAGAAAAACCTTATGAATGTAATGTGTGTAAGAAAACCTTCTCCCATAAAGCAAACCTCATTAAACATCAGAGAATCCATACTGGGGAGAAACCCTTTGAATGTCTTGAATGTGGAAAAGCTTTCACCCACCAGTCAAACCTCATTGTACACCAGCGAGCACATATGGAGAAGAAGCCCTACGAATGCAGTGAATGTGGCAAGACCTTTGCCCAGAAATTTGAACTTACTACACACCAGAGAATTCATACCGGAGAACGACCCTATGAGTGTAATGAATGCGCCAAAACCTTCTTCAAGAAATCAAACCTCATTATACACCAGAAAATTCACACAGGGGAGAAACGCTATGAGTGCAGTGAATGTGGAAAATCCTTTATCCAGAACTCACAACTCATTATACATATGAGAACTCATACCGGAGAAAAGCCCTATGAATGTACTGAATGCGGCAAAACATTCAGCCAGAGGTCAACTCTTAGATTACATTTGCGAATCCACACAGGAGAGAAACCATATGAGTGTTCTGAATGTGGGAAGGCCTTCAGCAGGAAGTCCCGACTCAGTGTCCATCAGAGGGTTCATACCGGGGATAAACCCTGAGACTGCAGCCAGGTTGTACTGTGAGAACCCTTCCAATAGGGAGAAACCTCGCGAAGGTGCTGAAGGAACATGGGAACTCATACTGAGATACAATCTCTCAACTCAAAAGTGTGTAAAAATGAGGTCCCCTAGGAACAATATTGTACTGATAGTTAGGTATATGATACCCAACTAAAGAATACATATCAGAATATATCCAATTGTAAATAGATGTACTTGGCTGTATTACAGTGAGTTTTTTAAAATCTTGAATAATTCATTCAATAATGAAATATTCTGGGCAGCAAGCAGCATAAAGGAGCTAGAGACAGTACCCTAGGAATTCAGTGGTTATGCGCGAGAAAATGCCACAAAAAAACCCCTATATTTTAGATCTGCACATGTAAATTTAACAGACACTAAGAGTTTGGAATTCTTGTCTGGATAATCAAATTAGGACACATCAAACATGATTTTCCATACTGAACATGTGTTTTTCAGTACCTTTACAATCCTGTCTGCATTCCAAATGAAACACATAACAGATTTTCGTAGCATGTAGCATATGTTTTCTCCTCCTCCTTGCTGGCATATATAAGTTGGTATGACCATTGTTATTGAGCTGCCTCTTCAGTCAACAGAAGACAATGTTGTTGAAGTTTTAACCTTCTGGGTTTGCTGAAGATTTCCTAGAAGTATTATTGACATAAATATGCAAGTGTGAGATAATTAAGAGACTGAAGAGAGTGAAAGGCAGCAGATGTGGGTTCTATCACTCAGTGTGCACCACGGAATAAATGGGCTGTGTAAAGAATAGCCACACCCATCATGCTCTTGTTATTTTCCACTGGGATATTTACATACAAATGCAAATGCATGTCTTTTACCAAAATATTGTATAACCCAGAAACTACATGTATTGTGGGGTGTTTCCCTGTTTCTCTTAATATTTTATAAATTGTCTTGCAAAAAATAGGATGCATATGTAGTTCAAGTGTTACATTTTAGAGGAAAAATAATTTAAGAAACTGTCAATAAATGTCTTATATTGCTTTTTAAATTTTCCATGTGCTTAGTCCACTTTAGAAATAAATTTTTGCAGAATTCTGTTTAAAGGAGGCATTTCTTCCATGAATTTCACTATCATCAACCAAAAGCATTTCCATTTGGAACCTTGACTTAGTGTAAGTTACAACTTTGCTTTAAAGGCTCACAAACACTTCATAAATTAGACTTTAGTGATCTCCCCATATATTGATTATTAACCTTAAAAATTTTCTTATTTTTACATAACTCAGAGATTCCATTTTAGGCTTGATTTCAAATTCACCAGTTCCTTTCCTTATCCATCACAAATCATGCATTAGAATTGTAAATGGCCACTGTAACTGGCCTTTTTTTCTTTTGTTTTTGAAGATTATTGATGTGCTATGACTGTATATGAATGTGAATGATTTTTCTGAACAAATTTATCAGAATATCCGTAGTCCAGTAAGTCTTTGTCTTTCTAAATTGTCATCTTATCTATAGTAATGGCAAGGAAGCAAGGGAAGAGGTTAACTTCCTACACTGCTGTTAGAAATACAAATTGTGACAACCTCCTTGGAAATAATTGTGACTCTGTCTTTTAACGTTAAGAACACACATGCAGTTGACTCTTGAACAGCACCAGTTTAATATGCGTGGGTCTGCTTATACACGGATTTTTTTTCAGTAAATGCTACAGTCCTGCACAATCCATGGTTGGTTGAATCTGTAGATGCAGAACCTTGGATACGGAGGACTGACTTTATACTTGGGTTTTCGACTACACTGAAGATCCGTGCCTTTAACCCCTATGTTATTCAAGGGCCAACTGTACTCTTCAACCCAGCAGACTCACTTCTGGGAATCCATCACTAAGAAAAAAATAAAGTGCCAGTACCTAAGACTATGTGTTTATCAATGTATATTGTATTTTTTGGTAAGGACAAAAAAGGAAACAATGTGAATGACCATCAGTAAGGGAATGATTGAATAAACTGTGGTAAAGATATACCACAGCTGGACAATATTCCGTAGGAAAGAGCGTTTAGGGGCAAATGCCACCAAGACAGATTGGGGGAGGGGGGAGAGAAAAAGTGTGTGTGCGTGCCTGTGTGTGTGTGTGTGTGTGTGTGTGTGTGTGTGTGTGTGTACACCAAATTTTGTAAAATAAAAATCTAAAAATGTTGTGTTTATGTGTATTTGTAAACGATTTTATGGGCCTGGAGAGTAGAATTCTCCAGAGTCAAAAATATAATTAACATTAATTTCAATGGAAAATTTTTCATGTATTCCTTAGTCTCTAACATTTGTTTATTCTGGAATACCAACGTAACCCATTTAAGTGGACACAGTTAACTAACATGAGTTAACATAGCATGACATAAAGCAGTTCCCTTACTCTGTACGGTGGCCGGCTGCTGTGTTCTGCTCCAGCTTTCATGGCTGTGTTGTAGTCTTGAGCCTGGGTTCTCAACTAAAACACATATTTGACATTCCTTGTTGACATGATGGAACCTTTAATACAAAAAAAAAAAAGACTAGTAAAGACAGAAAAACCAATGGAAAAAAATGCAGGGAATGCCAAGGTTATCATTACTCTAAATTAGCAAATAACAAATGCTTTGAGAAAATTCAGCATAAACACCTTTACAATTAAACAAGTGGCCATAGGGGTGACTGTCCTTTCATGAGCTGTTTGCTCCCAAGGCCTTAGAAATCCAGATCAGAACTCATAATTTTTTTAAAAAGTGCCTTGTAATCCTCATATACGGAAGTGGTCTTAGAGGAGGAGACTGCTGAAGACGAGTTCTTATAGCCTGGACATATGACTTTATTTCATCAACCTTACAGCAAGCTAGAAGGCAAGTTGTCATTTCACTGGTGAGGTGCAGGCCAAGAGGGGAAAGTTTGCACAACAAATTCTACCTGTCTGACTCCAAAACCCAGGCCCACTGTACTTGACCCCGTGACGTCTTCACTCCACTGATTTTTTTTTAATTAATTTATTTTTGGCTGTGTTGGGTCTTCGTTGCTGCACACGGGCTTTCTCTAGTTGCTGCGAGCGGGGTCCACTCTTTGTTGCGGTGCACAGGCTTCTCATTGCAGTGGCTTCTCTTGTTGCGGAACATGGGCTCTAGGTGTGCAGGCTCAGTGGTTGTGGCTCACAGGCTTAGTTGCTCCGCAGCATGTGGGATCTTCCCGGCCCAGGGCTTGAATCCATGTCCCCTGCATTGGCAGGCGGATTCTTAACCACTGCGCCACCAGGGAAGTCCCCACTCCACTGATTTTAATTAGACATTTTCTTTCCATTTCCATAGATATCTTTTTCATAACTAGAGTGCTTAAGTATTTTAACTTTTCCACATTGTTTTATGCTCTATAAATCTAAAGTTGGGAACATCTTCTTGGTATAAAGCCAGTGTGGCTAAATGGAATTGGTGTCACTCTACTGTTGGTAAGTCTCAGGACTAGTCAAATGGGACATAAGGTGACAGCACCATAGGCAGGAGGCACAAAGCTCGCAAAGACGTGGAAATGTGAGACACTGGGTCCTCCTCAGGAGGTGGGGGCTTTGTGGGGTGCTGCTGGAGGTTTAGTCCCAGCCACCCCTGCTGTCTCCCCTGTCACATTCACTGCTCGCCCACAGTCCATCTACATCTCTTCAGCTGAGTGACCTACATAGAGCCCTGTGCCATCCCCAGGCCGTGTGTGGCTCAACCCCTTACCTGATTGTCACAGCAAATCCTGCTGGCCAAAGTACAGTGGACTCTTGGGACCTGGTCTCCACTCGACAGTCTAGCGACTTCATCCGGTCTGTTCTCTGGTGTTTGGAGAAGGAAACTCCCGTAGCTCATCCTGCTGAGCACAGTCAGGGAACCATGGCTGGGATCCCTCTGCTTTATTTTCCAGACCTCAGCTGGATGTTAGTGACCGTCTTCTCCTCGGGTCTTAGCCCTCCTCCTGCCCTCAGAGAGAGGCTGCCCTCCTGCCTCAGACACGCACACTGAATCATTTCATGTGTGACACATGTTTTAGTAATGTAGAACCCACCTTCCTCGGTATCATAAGGACTGTCAGAATATTAAACAAAATGCAACTAACAAGCCAAAACATATAAAAATGTTAGGGACTCGTGTGAAAGAACCCAGAGATGGGTACTGAAGAACTTACGGGAGCATAAAACCCCATGAGACATCTGGACCATGGCTACTGACACTAATCATGGCAGCAGATGAGGAGACATTCATTCATTCCAAAAAGACACTAAGCACCAACAAGGGAGCAGGCACTGTGGGCTTCTGGGGATATGCTGGTGAACAAGATTATACTATGACAGAGGGCTCCTGTCCTTGGGGCACTTACATATTGGCAGTGCATCCCAGGAGCAGACAGACAACCGAGGCAGAGGATAGATTCCCTGCAGCTGGAAATGCAGGTATGGGCTGGGCCTGTCCCTGTGAGAAAAATGAGAAGCCATAGTAGGGTCTTAAATAAGGAGTAGCATCATCTGCTTTTTAAAAAGTAAATGAGCTTGATACTAACTGGGAGGAGAATTTGGGTAGAGCTGCCCAGAAGCAGAAACCCCCTCTCAGGAAGAGAAGCCTAAGAGATGGCGTTCTGCCAATCCATAGCTCCCATCTGACTGCTTTCAACAGAACTCCTTCAGAGAGTAAGCAGTGTTTCCTCCTGTTACTGACTGTTGGCAATTAGTGAGAAACCATCTTGCAAGGATCCAGGTTCACTTCCTTCTGCCCTCCTGGATCTGTTCCTAGTGTCTTCTGGTGTTTGCCCTGTTCCTCCTGCCTCCAGCCTGTCCAGACCCCTGAGGATTACCTGTGCCCACCTCAGAACTGTGGAATTCCATGCCCTGAAAAACATTTACAGTAGTTCATGCAGGTTGTTTTGGGGTGGAGCTGACATTAGCACTTTTCCTTTGTCTCGTTGATGCTGAATGTGGGAGGAGGTCGCTGAGGCCATTACTGAAAGTGAGAAAACTTGGGGCAGCAGGTGGGGCCTGATAC